GGGGGGGGGGGGGGGGCGGGGGGGGGGGGGGGGAAAGATTTTATTTCGTAGGGTGGGGGAGAGTTTATTTCGAGAGGGGCGGAACTGTACCGGTATAAATTCGCCGGGGGGAGATTTTATTCTTGGGGCGAATATATTTCGAGACCCGTCACTAGACGGTGACAATTAATGACCGGGTAGATTAATGACCTGGTAACAGTAATCACGAGTGATAAAGAAAGTGATGAGGCGGTCTCACTGGTCTCCTTTATTTCTAGTTGACGTTGGTAAATCAGAGGAAGGAAGTTGGCTATTTGATGGTTACTGAACGATATCAGATCAATATATATCAACCTTAAGTTAATCCTCTTGGCTAAATTACCTTGTTTGATTTTGCCAATCCGAGTAGAAATTCCGTTTCATATGCATAAAGAAAGAGATCCACAAAGAGGGGAGCACATTTGGTGCCCATGGGGATGTTTACTTCTTGCCTACATGCCTTTATCCCAAGTTTTACATAGATGTTATCAATGAAGAAGTCCAATATTTTACATTTTGCTTTCTCGGTAAACTTCCAATGACATTTGCTTTCATGTTTGAAAAATTGTCCTGAACCTCTGAAGATAGATATGTATCTATATCTATGGTCCACCCGTTTGCAAAAGAAAATGTCCCCTTGTTTGCCAAGGGAATTGACAAATTTCAAATTCAAGAACTTGCGGCCTTTCTAAGTAATGATTAAAGGGACAAAATCGATCATACTTGATAAAGACAAGACAACTATACTCTTCCAAAAAAGAAATGCCAGATTTGTGTGGGGTAGGAAACTGCATTTATTCGAGGAACCGTACAGGGTATTGAGTCAGAATGTTGTGGAGAGAACACTTGGTGATTGTAGTCATCTCAGTTATCGGTACATAGGACAAGTTCAGGGTGAAGGTCAGCTGCCATCAATAACGCGTATGTCCCCCGTTTGAATACATAGCGGCCTGATATCTCCTGCCCATGGAAGAGACGAGTATGCGAATCACATCCTGGGGGAATGGTAGCCCTTTCGGCCTGCAACGCAAAAGCCAACTGCTGCAACGTCTGGGGTAGTGGAATACACTGTTGCCGTTGGCTGCAATTGGAAGGACGTGTGGTAGAAGAATTTCGTTGATGTAGCGTTGAGCCGTAAGATTGCCCTGGATATGGACCAAACCTTTCCTGTCATGATGATAGATATCCGACCACATCATAATGATACCCCCACCAAACCTGTCAAGTTTCTGTATGCATTTTCCGGCGTAACGTTCGCCCTGACGCCTGTAGACCCGTGCTCTTCCATCCCCTCGACGGAGGAGAAATGTTGATTCGTCGCTGAACCAGACATCTCTCCATCGCAGTTGAGGCCATACCCTGTGTTGACGACACCAATGTAGTCTTTGTTGACGATGCTGTCGACACAATATGACGCGTCGAAAAGGACGTATTGCTCGTAGACCTGCTGCTCTTTAAACAGTTTCGCACGGTCTGATCGGGGATTCTGCGCAGTCCCGGTATTTGGGATGCGGTTGAGGTGGCTGTGGTCGTCCTTCCACGTAGATTGCACAGTCGGATGTAGTGATCTTGGGCGGAGGTGGTTACTCTTGGTCGTCCCGACCTTGGTCGATCACATTGCTACATTGAAAACCCTGTCAAAAGCTGATTGGGATTCCCCTACCTGCCTAACGTTGTTTCTTTGCACTTCTGTTAACCTTGGAATGTTGTTGAACTGTCTCTGTTCGATTGACGCAGATGCCAGGCAATCAAAAACCCTACATATTAATACCGACCATTTTGTAAATGCACTGGGTGCTTTTATTGCCAAAAATATCCGTATTGCGGTTTTTTTTTTAGAGTATATTTCTTTCACAGTATTTACAAAGTGAAGACTATTCATATTTATATGGATAAAAAAAGAATATCAAATGGTCGGTGCCTTACATTCCTTTGGACTTTTATGACATGTTATCAATGGTTTTGTTGGATACTATTCTTTATCTTGTCTTATCTCAATAGTGAAACAACATTATGTGAAATACCCCTTAATCCACTATCGTGTATTCCTTCTCGGGAGTAGGCGCTATCACATGCAATCAGTGCTCGTTTAACAGGTCATTAGAATCCCCATTGTAATTCAGTAAACAATGAATTTCGCATTCGTGTAACGTCACGGCCCGCTCTCCCATTCATCTTTTCTTGAAACCCGGTAAACGGCATTGTTGCCAATTTAACAGGTCATTAGAATCCCCATTGTAATTCAGTAAACAATGAATTGCGCATGCGTGTGACGTCACGGTCCGCTCTCCCATTCATCTTTTCTGGAAACCACACCCGCAATTGTTTATGTCAACATGACCGACCAATGGGATTAACTGGATTAACGCTTGAATTTATGGCTAACCCTTGCCCAAAGCCAGCTGACCCTAATGACCGAAAAGGGGTTTTGGATCGTAAAGATGTGTAAGTTTCCCTAAGACTGAAAACGGGTGTTTGATTGTAAAGATGTGTAAGTTTCCCTAAGACCGAAAACAGGTGTTGGATCGTGAAGCGAGAGTCACCAGAGCGTGAGGCACGGTAACTGTATAACGAGACAGTGTTGACACTATAGCGCGGTAATTGAGCGGATGGTAGAGCTCGGGCTGCGCCCGGTAAACTGCATTGTTGCCAAGATATTTCACGTATAATCCTGAGGTCCAACTAAAATATGCCTGTAATACACTGGAATTAGCATTTTGCTGTCAGGATCCCGGAAGTGAATCGAAAGGTGCATTTCGAGATACGTATTTCAGAAATAGATTGTTTTATCATAACCTCGTTAGCATATAGGTACAATGTGTCAGTACATTCAATGACAGAAGTTTTGTTTCGTAAATTAACTGCATAACATGAAACACGTCAGTGTACTTTTGCAAATTTGCTCAGTCAATGCGTGGCTTGGCGAACTCGAGATCGTCGATCATGTTTATTTCACGTTTCACAGTGGTGTTTGCTGCACAACGCAACATCGTTTTGCCATGAGTCCAGTTGACAAAAAACACTTTTTTTTCTGCTATGATTTTCATCTTAACATATTACGATGTAAATGAAATTAGTTCACAAAATAATTTGTGTGTCAAAATAAATATTCAGACGGGGCGATAACTCGGTGTGTACTAAAAAATCATCTCCACGCTCAATGGCGTCGAGTGCTGTGATTGGTCTGCACTCCAACCATAACAAACACACATGGGGATATTTACCAATCAGAGCGGTGAGGGACATTGAGTGCGGAGATTTTTGTATACTTCCGTGACCCACAGCCGCCACTGAGCCAATATTTCGATAAAATCACCCGATATAGGTAACAAATTGCCAAAAATGACGACTGCCCCACGTGTGTTAACAATGAACGGCACCAAACAGAGACCATAATATATAGGGGCAATGCTTTGTTGTAGAGTATTACTAGACATCTTGGTAATGGATGGAACCGATGTTACTTGACTCCTGACTTGTGTAACTTCCGCTACACATTCGTGTTAAAAGCATTACATAATCATATCATGAAACTAAATTCTTTGTCCACATATGCAAAGTCTTCAACTTTAACGTGTGCGTATAATTAAAGGCAACAATGCAGTATACCGGGCACAGCCCGAGCTCTACCATCGGCCTGTCCTCATTTCGCGTACACCTACACCCTTATCAAAACAAATTTACAGCTGACTGCACATAAGTCAAGTGCTGTGTTACCTCTAAAATAATGAACTGACCCAAAAGAAGGTTAAACAGACAAGACAATCTTAAAGCTTCATACATTGTTTAATAGCTGATATTTACATTATGCAGTAATAATAATAATGACTCATGATTACTTTAGCTTTAGTACATATCCAACGGCATCAAGAAATTGCATTACAGTTAAACAGACAAGACAATCTTGAAGCTTCATACATTGTTTAATAGCTGATATTTACATTATGCAGTAATAATAATAATGACTCATGATTACTGTAGCTTTAGTACATAACCAACGGCATCAAGAAATTGCATTACAGTTTTTCTTCCACTAAGAAGCTGTGAGATGATAGGCTTCTTTACACCTTAATTATTAAATAAGATTTATTTACTAAACAAGATTTACTTGCACATTCAAAACAACTAAGGATTAACAGAATGACCAAGTCAAACAAGAGTTGTGAGAAGTTGTCATAGGTTGTAAAAACTTCACTTTGAACCTCTATGCCACTTGGATTAGATTAGAGCTTGGATTAGTTAACAGCCTGAGATGGACAATGCCCATTCATATAATAGGGGTGAGGCAATTAAGCATTTGAATTATTGTAGGCGAAATGAGATGTAGGCGAAATGAGGGCAAGCCCTACCATCCGCTCAATTACCGCGCAGGGGCGGTCGGGTAGCCTAGTGGTTAAAGCGTTCGCTCGTCACGCCGAAGACCCGGGTTCGATTCCCGACATGGGTACAATGTGTGAAGCCCATTTCTGGTGTCCCCCGCCGTGATATTGCTGGAATATTGCCAAAAGCGGCGTAAAACCATACTCACTCACTCAATTACCGCGCTATAGTGCCAACGCTGTCTCATTATACCGTTACCGTGCCTCACGCTCCGGTGACTCTCGCTTCACGACCCAACACACGTTTTCGGTCTTAGGGAAACTTACACGTATTTACGATCCAAAACCCCTTTTCGGTCATTAGGGTTAGCTTGCTTTGGGCAGGGGTTAGCCATAAATTCTTACCTTTTCAAGCGTTAATCCGGTTAATCCCATTGATCAGATATGTTGACATAAACAATTGCGGGTGTGGTTTCAAGAAAAGATGAATGGGAGAGCGGGCCGTGACGTCACACGCATGCAACAGTTAGATATACAACAACCTCCACTAGCTTTAGGTCGCATGACACATGTTACGACTGCTGATAAATCTTGAGGATAACTGTGTAATACAATATTTAACAGATGTGGCTGCTGATGATCTGACATACAATATCCACGTACCTCAAGATCAACGTTAGTCCGACTCAGGTAATCTCCCCGCTGTGATGTGTGCTGCAAGTCACGCCCTGATCACGTGTATAAAGATGGCCAATCATAGTTCACATTGCTGATATACGGGTGTACTTCCTTGTACACTGGCTGTTTCACTCAACATGTTATGCAGTCCTTTGTACCTCATATGCCGAGGTCCGGTGTCTTGTTCTGTGTGTCATAGAACGTGTGTACATATGGGTTGCAAGATAAGATATATGCACACAGCAGTCACAAGTACCTAGATTGATCAGACAATAAAGCGACACAACCCTTACACAACTGTACGATTGCAACTTATCATGAGCATGTGTTTATTAATCATTGTCAAATAGTAGTAATACCAGGTAATAGTGATACCAGGGAATAGCAATGATACCAGGGAATAGTAATGATACCAGGAAATAGTAATGGTACCAGGTAATAGAAATTGTACCAGGGAATATTAATGATACCAGACAATATTAATGAAACCAGGTAATGGTAATGGTACCAGGGAATAGTACTGATACCAGGGAATAATAATGATACCAGGTAATAGAAATTGTACCAGGGAATTTAAATGATACCAGACAATATTAATGATACCAGTGAATAGTAGTGATACCAGGGAATAGTAGTCTTACCAGGGAATAGTAATGATACCAGTGAGTAGTAATGATACCAGGAAATAAAAATGATACCAGGAAATAGTAATGATACCAGTTAAAAGTAATGATACCAGGTAATAGTAATCATACCTGGTATTAGTAAAGAAAACAGTTAACAGTAATGATGCCAGGGAATAGTAATGATACCTGTTAATTATAATGATATCAGGGAATAGTAATGATATCATTGAATAGTAAAGCTACCAGAAAAAAGTAATCATACCAGTTTATAGTAATGGTACAAGGTAAAAGTAATGATACAAGTGAATAGTAATGATACAAGGGAATAGTAATGATACCAGGTAATAGTAATGATACCAGGGAATAGTAATGACACCTGGGAATATTAATCACACCAGGGAATAGTAATGATACCAGGGAATAGTAACAATACCAGGGAATAGTAAAAGATACCAGGCAATAGTAGTGATACCAGGTAATAGTAATGACACCAGGGAATAGTAATGATACCATTGAATAGTTAAGATACAAGGGAATAGTAATGATACGAAGTAATATCAATGATACCAGGGAATAGTAATGATACCAGTTAATAGTAATATTACCATTGAATAGCAATGATACCAGTTAATAGTAATGACACCTTTGAATAGTAATGATAACAGTTAATAGTAATGATAACAGTTAATAGTAATGACACCAGTGAATAGTACTGATACCAGGGATTAGTAATAATACCAGTTAATAGTAATGATGCCAGGGAATAGTAATGATACCAGGGAATAGTTATAATACCAGTTAATAGTAATGATGCCAGGTAATTGTAATGACACCAGGTAATTGTAATGATATCAGGTAGTAGTAATGATACCAGGTAATAGTAATGACACCTTTGAATAGTAATGATAACAGTTAATAGTAATGACACCAGTGAATAGTACTGATGCCAGGGAATAGAAATCATACCAGTTAATAGTAATGATACCAGGTAATAGTAATGATACCAGGGATTAGTAATAATACCAGTTAATAGTAATGATGCCAGGTAATAGTAATGATACCAGGGAATAGTTATACTACCAGTTATTAGAAATGATACCAGGTAATTGTAATCATACCAGGTATTATTAATGAAAACAGTTAATAGTAATGATACCATGTAATAGTAATGACACCAGGTAATTGTAATGATATCAGGTAGTAGTAATGATACCAGGGAATAGTAATGACACCTGGGAATATTAATGACACCAGGGAATAGTAATCATAACAGGTGATAGTAACGATACCAGGTGATAGTAATGATACCATGTAATAGTAATGATACCAGGGAATAGTAATGATAACAGGTAATAGTAATGATACCAGGTAATAGTAACAATGCCAGGGAATGGTAATGATAACAGGTAATAGTAATGATACCAGGGAATAGTAATGACAACATGTAATAGTAATGATACCAGGGAAGAGTCATGATACCAGGTAAAAGTAACAATACCAGGGAATAGTAATGATAACAGGTAATAGTAATGATACCAGGGAATAGTAATGATAACAGGTAATAGTAATGATACCAGGTACTAGTAACAATGCCAGGGAATAGTAATGATACCAGGTAATAGTAATGATACCAGGGAATAGTAATGATAACAGGGAATAGTAATGATACCAGTGAATATTTATGATACCAGGTAATAGTTATAATACCAGTTAATAATAATGATACCAGGGAATAGTAATGATTACAGGTAATAGGAATGATAACAGGTGATAGTAATGACAACAGGGAATAGTAATGATACCACGGAATAGTAATGACACCAGGGAATAGTAATGATAACAGGGAATAGTAATGATACCAGGGAAAAGTAATGGTACCATGAAATAGTAATGATACCAGGTAGTAGTAATGATACCATTGAATAGTAAAGATACCAGGTAATAGTAACGATACAAGGGAATAGTAATGATAACAGGTAATAGGAATAATACCAGGGAATAGTAATGATACCATGTTATTGTAATGATATCAGGTAATAGTAACGATACCAGGGATAAGTAATGATACCATGGAATAGTAATAATACCAGGGAATAGTAGTGATACCAGGTAATGTTAATGACACCTGGGAATATTAATGACACCTGGTAATAGTAATGACACCAGGGAATATTAATGATAGCAGGTAATAGTAACGATACCAGGGATAAGTAATGATACCATGGAATAGTAATAATACCAGGGAATAGTAGTGATACCAGGTAATATTAATGACACCTGGGTATAGTAATGACACCTGGTAATAGTAATGACACCAGGGAATCTTAATGATAGCAGGTAATAGTAGCGATACCAGGGAATAGTAATGATAACAGGTAATAGTAATGATACCAGGGACTAGTAATGATAACAGGTAATAGTAATGATAACAGGTGATAGTAATGACAACAGGGAATAGTAATGATACTAGGGAATAATAATGATAACAGGTAATAGTTATGATACCAGGTAATAGTAATAATACCAGTTAATAATAATGATACCAGGGAATAGTAATGATACCAGGAAATAGTAATAATATCATGGAATAGTAATGACACCAGGTAATTGTAATGATACCAGGTAATTCTTATAATACCAGTTAATAATAATGATACCAGGGAATAGTAATGACTACAAGTAATAGCAATGATACCAGCGAATAGTAATGATATCAGGTAATAGTAATGATACCAGGTAATAGTAATGATACCAGGGAATAGTAATGATAACAGGGAATAGTAATGATACCAGGGAATATTTATGATACCAGGTAATAGTTATAATACCAGTTAATAATAATAATACCAGGGAATAGTAATGATTACAGGTAATAGCAATGATACCAGCGAATAGTAATGATAACAGGTAATAGTAATGATACCAGGTAATAGTAGCAATGCCAGGTAATAGTAATGATAACAGGTAATAGTAATGATACCATTGAATAGTAATGATTACAGGTAATAGCAATGATAACAGGTGATAGTAATGACAACAGGGAATAGTAATGATACCGGGGAATAGTATGACACCAGGGAATAGTAATGACACCAGGGAATAGTAATGATACCAGGGAAAAGTAATGGTACCCTGTAATAGTAATGATACCAGGTAGTAGTAATGATACCATTGAATAGTAAAGATACCAGGTAATAGTAACGATACAAGGGAATAGTAATGATAACAGGTAATAGGAATAATACCAGGGAATAATAATGATACCATGTAATTGTAATGATATCAGGTAATAGTAACGATACCAGGGAATAGTAATGATACCATGGAAAAGTAATAATACCAGGGAATAGTAATAATACCAGGGAATAGTAATAATACCAGGTAATAGTAATGATAACAGGTGATAGTAATGACAACAGGGAATAGTAATGACACTTGGGAATATTAATGACACCTGGTAATAGTAATGACACCAGGGAATATTAATGATACCAGGTAATAGTAGCGATACAAGGGAATAGTAATGATAACAGGTAATAGTAATGATACCAGGGACTAGTAATGATAACAGGTAATAGTCATGATAACAGGTGATAGTAATGAGAACAGGGAATAGTAATGATACTAGGGAATAGTAATGATAACAGGTAATAGTTATGATACCAGGGAATAGTAATGATACCAGGAAATAGTAACAATACCATGGAATAGTAATGACACCAGGGAATAGTAATGATACCAGGTAATAGTAACAATGCCAGGGAATAGTAATGATAACAGGTAATAGTAATGATACCAGGGAAGAGTTATGATACCAGGTAACAGTAATGATACCATGGAATAGTAATGATAACAGGTAATAGTAATGATACCAGGTAATAGTAACAATGCCAGGGAATAGTAATGATAACAGGTAATAGTAATGATACCAGGGAATAGTAATGATAACAGGGAATAGTAATGATACCAGGGAAGAGTTATGATACCAGGTAATAGTAACAATACCAGGGAATAGTAATGATAACAGGTAATAGTAATGATACCAGGGAATAGTAATGATAACAGGTAATAGTAATGATACCATGGAATAGTAATGATAACAGGTAATAATAATTATACCAGGGAAAAGTAATGATAACAGGGAATAGTAATGATACCAGGTATTAGTTATAATACCAGTTAATACTAATGATACCAGGTAAGAGTAACAATGCCAGGGATTAGTAATGATAACAGGTAATAGTAATGATACCAGGGAATAGTAATGACAACATGTAATAGTAACGATACCAGGGAGGAGTTATGATACCAGGTAAGAGTAACAATACCAGGGAACAGTAATGATAACAGGTAATAGTAATGATACCAGGGAATAGTAATGATAACAGGTAATAGTAATGATACCATGGAATAGTAATGATTACAGGTAATAGGAATGATAACAGGTGATAGTAATGACAACAGGGAATAGTAATGATACCAGGGAATAGTATGACACCGGGGAATAGTAATGACACCAGGGAATAGTAATGATAACAGGGAATAGTAATGATACCAGGG